AGAGCAATTTCACTTTTTTTGTTTTCATTTTAACAAAAAAAAAATATAGAATTTTAATTCGGAGGACATTTCCCCGTTAGCATAAAACCACTTAAAAGGTGGTTGTATTTCAATGGTAAATTACTTGACAGTGTCCCTTTAACTTAAAAATAAAATAATGTCAGTATTGCAATGAATTTCAAGTTTTCTTGCACGTAGTCATTATAAAGTAGCTTTTATCATGCTCTTGGACCTATTCTACAAGACATTTAAAAGCATATCATCAAGGAAAATATAAGGCATACTTCTCAGGAATTAGGTATCTTGGCACATTTGAGCATACTGTCTTTTTTTAAAACAACACATATGGTCAAATATACCTTTCTTCTTCTAACATTAAACAGGGTTTTCTGTACTTTGTTTTAAATACTGAGATATTAGAGCCTTGGTAAAGTACCGAGCACCTCCGGGAAAACAAAAATTAAAACAAAAAAAGCAAAAAAATAAATCCAAAGGAAACTAAAACAACCAGGAGCAAAATCTCACGAATCTTTACAGTCATTTTAGTCTTTCGTTATCATCATTCATCAAGTCCTTGAACATACAGAACGTGCGTTAAAAGAAGAATAAACCAAAACGAAACAAAAAAAAACCCGAGGAAACACGCAGAAGAAACCCAAAACGAGACAAAAACTGACCACGAGTTCTCGGCCACTGTTCACAGAACTGCCCGCGGGCTGTTCCAGGCTGTACTGGTTTGACTGGACCCGTGCGCTCCTCGAGTCAGCCGGATCCTGGGCAGGATCCGGGCGGCGCGGGCGAGGAAGACCACGGGAGGAGCCTGCCTCGTTAGCGGTGCTCCCAGAGCCGGGAGGGACGGAAGGACACTCCGCCGTGCTCTCCTCGCCTCCCGCTACTTATTGCTGGGAACGCACCGCGGCGGCGTTGGAACTACGGGCGCCGGAGCGCGTCCGTCGGCAGCGCGACAACTTTGGGGAGGGCAGCGAACAGCAGGACCGAGACAATCAATCAAGTAGCAAAAACCAAAGCAATTAAATTCCTAACTACGTCTAGCAGCATGGAGAGTGCAGTCCCGACACATCACAGTTGAAGTACAATAATCGCTGGAACTGCCCATCCAGAGCCTCCGAATCAGAAGCAGGTTATCAGACACATGTTTACATGCAATTGAGAACCATTTCAAATGTCACATTACGCACTCTGAAAAGCTTATTTCACTACTGGGAAATAGGAAAAGTGCACATTAAAGCAATTTTAAACATTTCCAGTGATTGTTTAAAAAGAAACAGAAACACCTCGCTACCAGCGGCTCGTGTTTAACTTTCTGTGAACACTAACAGCAAACTTCTTTCAAGGGCAATAATGCATGGTACAATGGAAACAGCTTGTTTTGACACTTACAGTACATCTCAAAAAAAAAAAAAATCCAAACAAAAAAACACCAAAAAAACCCCAAAACCCCAAGAAGAAAAAGGGAATTATAATTTCAACTGGGAATAGAATGACAGCAGGAAATCAAATTCTTTAAAACAAGCTTTTTTTTTGTTTTCTCCCCACCCTTCCGAAACTCCATCCTTGCCCCTCGGTAAAGAAGCGCTGGCAGCTCCTGCTCGGCACAGGAGCAGCTCAGGTCTACCTGACCCCTAACTCAGCCAAGACCATTCAGCAAAATGATTGCATTCCCAAAAAACTTCCGAGTGGAACAAGATTCTAGTTTTTCTGAAATGCTCTCTACTGAATTCCAGCCAAGAAAAGAAAAGAAAAGAAAAAACAAAAAATAAAGTTTTGTTTTCACTGTTTAAGGCATCTTTTTTTTTTATAACATTTTCTCTTCACTCACAATGATGATAGTCATGCAGCAGTTTAATGATAAAAATATATTAATATTTTACTATACAGCAGCAAGAAGTTAGTCAATTAAAAGCACACCAACTTTTTTTAAAAGAAAAAAAAGAAAAACATAACTGAAAAACAACGAAGACAACCTGTAAAAGTCTATTATTATTCTTATTATTATTACAAACAATTTCAATTTGGAGAACACACCTGGACAGATTAGTGTTCTGACAAATCTGTGTTTCCCTAGCCTAGGCTTCGAGCAGAGCCCGTGCCCGGCGGGAGCTGGGACGGGGAGGGCAGGGCACGGCCAGGCTCGCCAGGTATGTAGCCAGTAATAAGAACTAGCACCACAGCTACATGGAAATCCATTACGGACACACACCGGCTTGGCTTTCACTGTCCAACCAAACTCCGACCCCCATGGCTCAGTGGGATCACGCTGCCCTCGCTGCACTGCTGCTAACAGCCTACGGGAGTGAACGGGGACCAAAGCATCGCTCCGAGTTCAGGAGATAGTGCTAGTGCCAGTGGCCACACGGAAAGACTCGCTACCTGCTGTCCAATAACAGGTGGACTGGAAACCGCTGCACGTCAGGTTAAGTACTTTAAGTACACAGAATAAAAAAAATATATTATGAACAATACAAGTACATCTCATATACACAATAATGACAATACGCCTACTCAGTTGTAAACCAAACAGGTGCAGAAAAAAAATATTATGGGAGGAAATTCTTTACTTTTCGTTTTTTTTTCTCTCTCTCTCTTTTTTTTTTTCTTTTCCTCTTTTCTTTTTTTTTTTTTTTACTATTTGATTAACTTTGGTTCAAACGTAAAAATCACAAGTTAGCAAATTTCATTTAAATGCCTTTTTTAATAATTTTTCTTCATGTTCACAGAAGTTTCACTGACCATTTTTATATGTTTAAGGTCCAGATGCAATGCATATTGTATAAAAGAGAGCACTTATTGTTTACCTTGCATGAATTAAACCTACGTACCTTTTAACTCTACAAACTTCTGCATAACATTTAGACAAAGCTCAGACACACAGCATGCCTAGCCCTCATATATATATACACATCTCTAATCACAGGTATATAGGGTGTCAAATATACTATAGTAACCTCCATGTAAGGTTCGAAATTTGGTAACAAAATGAGAAGAAAAAACTAAAAATATTATTTTACGTGTTCTAAAATATCTCTTTTTTTTTTTTGTGCTAAAGTCAAATGTTAGCTCAACATGAAAAGGACTTTTTTTTTTATATAATTCAGCAATATTATAATCTTGACCATTTTTGCAAACACTTTTAATAATAATAGCTTAAACGTGTACAAAAGTTCTCGGTTAATTAGGGAAATAAACACTCAGTTCTTTATATTTTTAATCAAGTAGGAAACACAGTTCATATATAATGTTATTACTTTTTTTTTGACTCTTTTTTTTTGTGTGTTTTTTTTTTTTTTTTGGTTTTTTTTTTTTTTCTGTTTTGTTTTGTTTTGTTTTTAGCAGCTGCTTACTGTTTGATACGGTGGGTAAAGTGGAGGAACATCCAGCGATGGGTGGCGGGTCTGAGGCGCTGCTGCTGCCGGGCGGCGGGGGGGGCGCCGGGCGGGCGGCGCGGCCGGGGGGGCTCCGGGCGGAGGGGGGGCTCCGGGCCGCCGCCCCCGCGCCCCGCCGCCCGCCCGCCCTCCCGCCGGCGGCGGGGCCAGTCCGCGTCCCGGGGGGCGGGCGGTCAGTCCTCCTCGGGCTCCTCGGCCTGCAGCAGCGCGCCGGGCGGCCCGGCGGCGGCCGCCTCGGCCTCGGGGGGCGGCTCGGCGCCCACGGCGGGGGCGGCGGCGGCGGCGGCGCGCTTGTCCCGCTGCTTCTCCTGGATCTTCTTCATCTCGTCCGAGTACTTGCAGAAGGTGTGGCCGAACTTGGCCCAGACCTTGTAGGGGACGGTGATGGAGTTGCGGTAGGTGGGCTTCACCTCGCTCACCCGCATGAACACGCCGTACTTGTTGGAACCCACGTCGAAGAAGAAACGCTTGTTGTCCACAGTCAAGGAGGTGCCCTCGGGCAGCTCGGCCGGCTCCTCCTCCACGCCGTAGTCGTCGATGAGCTTGGCCAGGGCGTCGCGGAACTCGATGAGGCCCTGTGCGGGCAGCGCGATGGTCTGGCCCTGCGTGGAGCCCAGCCCCGGGCCGCGGTTCACGGTCTGGCGGACGCGCAGGAAGCGCCCGCGCTGGTTCTCCTTCAGATCCATGTAGTACTTGCGGTTCTCCCGCACCAGGAACTCGCTCTTCAGCGCCCGCCGGGGCTCGTCGGCCGCCTGCGCCAGCTCGGGGGGCTGGCTGGGCCCCAGCTGCGCGTAGTGCTCGATGAAGTCGCCCAGGTAGTCGCGGAACTCGACGGCCACCGACATGGAGAGGGTCAGGCGGCTCTTGTTGCCGCCCGCGCCCACCTCGGCGATCTTGAGGAAGCGGCCCTTGGCGTTCTGCTTCACGTCCAGGTAGAAGCGCTTGTTCTGGATGTCCACCCGCTTGGAGGCCAGCTCCTGCGTCTCGTGCTGCAGCCCGCCGCCCGGGCCCCCGCCGCCGCCGCCGCCGCCGCCCGGGCCGCCGCCGCCCGCGCCCGGCCCCCCGGCGCCCGCCGCGCCCCCGCCGCCGCCGCCCTGCTCGCTGCCGCTGTCTCTGTCCGCCATGATGCCGCCGCCGCTCCGCCGCCGCCGCCGCTCGGGCCTCGCCCGCCGCTGCTCGCCCCGGCGCGGCCGCCCCCGCGCCGCCGCCGCCTCCTCCGCCGCCGCCGCCGCCTCCTCGGCCGCCCCCGGCCGCCGCCGCCGCCGCCGCCTCCTCCTCCTCCCGCCGCCGCCGCCGCCGCCGCCGCTGCTGCAACAGCCCCCGCGGCCACCAGCCGGCCGCGCTCTCGCGAGATCTGCCGGAGCGAGGAGAGGGCGCGGGAAGGCGGCAGAGAGCGGCCCCCGCCGCCGGCCGCCCCGGCGAGCACGGCGGCAGTGCCGCGCCGCCGAGCGGCCGCCGCGGGTACTGCAGCTGCGCGCTCCCGCCGCGCACCGGCGCCGCGTCCGAGCCCCGCTCCGGGCGGCACCGGCGGCACCGGCGGCACCGGCGGCACCGGCCCCGCTGCACCGCGCTACCGCACCCCGCGGGCAGCTGGCCGGCCCCGCAAGAGCCGCCGGCTTCGTGCTCCCCGCAGCGAACCGTACGGGAGATCGCTCGGCAGCGGGCCCTCCTCCCGGGTGGGATGCCCGGGATGCCCGGGTGGGATGTGCGTTTATTCGGGGTTGATGATGAAGTTAATTAATGGGCCTATGGCGTGGCGCCGGGCCTGGAGGCTCGGGAGCGCAGCAGGAGTGGGGACCGGGGGGATCGGGCGTCCCCCCGCAGCGGGGGCTCGGAGGTGGGGCTTGGAGGTGGGTTTTGGAGCCTTGGAGGTGGATTTTGAAGGTTTGGGGGTGGGTCTTGGAGGTTTGGGGGTGGGTTTTGGAGGAGATGCTTTAGCTTCTAGTCCTTGTTTCCAAACCCTCAATTTGAAGCCAGCTCCAGCCCAAGTAAGGATGTTTTCTCCTGATGCTGCAGGTCAGGAAGCAAACTGGTCTGATTGCTCTGGGTAGAAGTCGCTTCCCTGCCTGCTGCTTCCAGGACTGCTGACTTCTGTGGAAGGCATGGATGTACCTCTAGCATCCCAAAAACCCTGCAAGTGCTGCACAAAGAGTGGTGCTATGAGGTGAATTTTCGGGTGGCCTGTGGAATGTGCTTGGCACACAAATGTCTTTCTCGTGGAGACAGGGAGGGATCTGCTGAGACATCTTGTTGCGTTAGAGGATGCTCAGATATCTCAGGAGGAGCCCTCAGCCTGCTCCATGGCTGTGGTGATGGCGACTCCGTGGGTAATTTAAAAAAATATACAGAGAAACAGTTTCCTTTTACCACAGAAACAATATTTCAGCACTGGCTGTCAGAAAGCCCTGAGCGCTGAGGATGTGCAGCGCGCTCCATGGATGCTGGGTTGGATTTTCAGCCTACCTAAACTGTCCCGGGTGTTTCCTGGCATGGGAGCTGTGTGTCCAGGTTGGCACCACCACGCTGCCCCATGGCAGGCTGCTGCTTTGGCAACCCCTCTCTCTTGATTTCTCTTTTTATGCTCAAGTCAAATGACATGAAACAACCTAACCTGTGGCCTGTTGCTGTCACCAGCAGGTGTCCTGATGGATGAACCATGCTTTATCCCTGTCCTAGAACTGGGAAGTGCAGGAGGAGTTGTGTTTGTGCCCTGGAGGCACATGGCCCTCTGCCTCTGACTGGGGTGCAGTGAAAATTGCTGGTGCTGAGGATGCTGGCCAGAAGCAGAGGTTATTTTTCCTCCCCAGCACATGCCAGTGGTACCTTTTCAGGAGTGGGTGCACTCCAAGTGGATACCAACAATCCTGTGAACAACCTGCCAGTGTCGGTGCTTTGGTGGGATGATGTTTTGTGAGGTTCTGCTTGCCCAGCACCTTTCGGTGTTGGAAGTCACAGCCACTACCTAATGCTCTGATTTTGTGCCTGAATTTGGCTTGAATAAGGCATTTGCTTACTGAAGTAAACAAAACAAAGGAAAAAGAAGTCTTTTCTTCCCAAAGATAGTTATCTTTTCCCAAAAGTTATCTTTTCTTCCCAAAAGATAACATTTTCAAGTGGGAGCTCTACCACAGCAGCCCATCCTGGGGACCCACAGGAACTTAAATTGGTCTGCCCAATGCTAAAACAAGATCATGTGGCCAAGGCAATCTTGGGATGGCTGCTGAATGAAGCAAGGTGTAAAGTAGGATGGACCAGGGTGATGGATAAGTGCAGGAGCCAGGGGAGTCTCCCCACACATTGTCCAGGTTTGGCCTTGTCCAGGCCAAAGACTGGATTGGGATCTTGCAGGGAGCTCCTGGTCCCATGCTGCCCATCCTGGCTGTTGCAGTGCTATCAGTGGCTCCCATATGGTTATCAGGCTGCACACTGCACTGCCTCTGTGGCTTCTGCTGAAACCCATCCCAGACCTCTCTGCTCTGAAAATCAGAAATCTTTTCATCTCCAGCCCCACAACTCTCAGTTTAGGGATTTCACAAGATTTTCTAATGGCTTTTCTTCTTCCATGTATCTCTCAGTAGCAATTATACCCCCTTCAGCCCTGTTGTGATAGCCTAAATAAGACCAAATTTAGGTAGCTTCCTCTCATAAGATAATCCTCCTTTCTTTGACTGTTGTAGTCATTTTACACACCAGTTTCAGTTCCTTGGAAAGACAAGGGAAAAGGTTTTCAGAGTTGTGGCTGGGATTTCAGGCTTAAGATCAATGGGCCTTTTGTTTTGAAATCCAATTCAGTGGGCTTTTATGAACATATCTGATCATTACTGTGAGCATCTCAAAAAGTTTGGAGTCCCAGCTACGAAACAACGCCGCTGATTCCAAGAACTTGTACAAATATTTATAATCAACAGGAGGCAAGCTAAGAGCCATTCAAACAAGAGATAAGATTAGTAGCTGAAGTGGCTGGGCTGCAATTGTTATTGTGCAAGTCAAAGAAAAGGCTGTCACACATGGAGGATATTGCCAAGCAAGTCATTCTTCGCCGAGTCATTCTTCTCTCATCTTCTGTCTGAATTCTCCTGCAGTTTTCCCAGACCTACTCAGGCTACTGGGTTAGGAGGTGAGTGAGTTTAGACTTTTTTCCAAGTTGTGTCAGATATTTCCCTTGGTCCCGCTCTTGTCCAGCACCCCTACCGTGGAAAAGGGGAAAAGGGAAGTTCAGAGAACTTCCTGTGCCGTGATGGGAGTTGGAGCACTGAAGCAACTGAAGCCAGGTTGCTGTTGCCATCTCTCAGATGCAGAGCACTCAGGAGGCTTTTACAGCCACGGGGGGATCTCTGAGGCTGGCTGAAGGCTCAGACCAGCCCCTGGACAGGAAGGTGTAACAGGATGGTGAAAGCTCTCTGCTCTCCATCTGGATCCTCCTCGGAGTGTGCCTTTGGAGAGAGGAGTTCAGTGTGGCTCATCCACTGCTGTGAGGCGTTGGTTACCCTGTGAACAAGCCCCATCGTGTGCAGCAAACAAGAAACCGGCACACAACATATGAAAGTCATTTAGGAAGATGGAAATGATGAGCGGTGCACACAATAGCGTTGCTATTAGGATCTGTCGATCCTAATTAAAAAAATACTTCCCAATGAAAATTATTTATAAAAAGAAATCACAGTGACCCTAAATCAAATTATTTGTGAATGGTTTTTAGTCTCCCAGATCAGTTAAAACTCCTGTGTTAGTCACTGGACATCATCCAAGCTACATGCTGAATGAATAACATCCCTGCCAAATTTCATTTTTTTTCACCCTCACCAAGTTTGGCACAGGACAGTTAAAGTCATTTTTCTAAATATCTTTCAGAACATCAAGCGACTGTAAAATAACAATGGGAAAGCTTGGCCACAGCCAACTGCAGCCCTCCAGTTGGAACCGCTTCTCTCCAAGAAAGCAGCTCCACTTCCTTTGATGATCTGTTTTGGGGGAGCACTGAGGCAAGGATTCCTCCATGGGGGTACTGGAGGGTCACTGCCCCAGGGGCAACCCTGCCAAGGAGCCTGGCTTCCAGCTGTTCCAGCGTGGGGCACAGCTGGATCCAGACTGGCCCTGGGTACAGGGTTTGTGTCTTTTTGGCCACCTGCTAGAGGGTGACATCCCGAGGACAAACCAGCCATTCCTTGTCCACAGTGGCAGTTTCCATGGTGAGCTGTAACGACGCCTCTTCTGCTCACTCTTCAGAAACAAAAAACAAACAAAAAAGAAAGAAAGAAATAAGGAATCAATGACTGCACAATGGCAGAACAAGTTCTTGCTGCTTGTGTCTGCAAAGATAAAGGGCTAATTCTTCTAAGCACTCTGTGATGTCCTATCCAAGTGAATTAAGTTTGGGATTGTTTTCATGATGGCTTGTTCCAACTCCAGTGTGCTTTCTCTCCTTTGACTGGCCTGCAAGTCCCCCACTGCCCTTTTCTCAGCTGGCTTCCCCCTCATTTGCTCTTTCTGACCATGGAGGTGCCATCACCTGCAGAAGGTTAGGAGCTTCCCCAGCTCTTGGTTCTCAGAGACCCTAAGAGGCAAGCATGGTTCTCCAGCTCCCCACATAATCCAGGAAGTGCTGGCTGCTCTTCTGTTGAAAGCTAGCAATAAATGGCCACCAAATTCCAATCTTGCTGGTTTCAGTGAGACTAATTTATAAACCCAGGGGTCTCTGCTCCTTGTCTCCTAAGGTGGAGTAAGGATTGGAGCCCAGCATTATGTGCAGCAGTTAGCAAAGGCTGTGTCACCTGTGTATGTGACTGACTGTTTCCCAATATCCAGGTGGCTTTTTTGCCTCCAGTTGAACTGGTGTGATACCTGGGTGGGCCTCCTCCTTCCCTTCCCTCTTCCCATGCCCATGGCATTGGCTGGGAAGGTGCTCTGTCCACAGGGATGTCCAGGAAGGTGGGCATAGCTGACTCACAGGCACAGCTGCTCTGGCTCCTGTGACCAGCTGGTTCATCCTTTTATTAAGATGTCAGCACCTCCTGTGTTTTTGCTGTTTGATTCCTCTTGTTTCCCTGCTGCCTTGCTGCTGTCTCCAGAGCTGTGCCCAGATGGTCCTGTTGTTCCTCCAGCCATGACTGCTGGTTCTGGACTTGCACAGCCATGCAGCAAGGCAGCTGACACCCTCTCTGCTCTTGCTTTTCCTTCTGGGCTTATGGACATGCTGGGGGTTGTGAATCCATGCCCTCAAAGCACGTTTTTGGGAAGTGTGCTTTAGAAAGCACTGGCTGGCTTTGCCTGATAGAGGTGTGTCCCCCTCCCGTGCCACAATGCCTGCTTTATCCTGCCACTCATTTGCAGCCCCTAAAGCTGTTGGATCACACCAGGTGGGGTCCCTAATGTGTCCAGGAGCAGTCCAGCTGGTGCAGGGTCCCAGAGGAGAAAAGGGTGGGAGAAGGCGGAGAGAAGCTTTGGTTCCAGAGACTCCCAGGTATGATTGTGACTCGGATCTCCACACCTCCTCCTCCAGCCAGGGGACATTTCTGGCTATTTGTAACTTCTGGTTTTGAGGTTAATACTCCAGCCCCTCCCCAGTGCAGCTTTTTGCAGGCTGTGATTCTTTCTCAGATTACTTTAAACTCCCTTTCCTTAAAAAGTATGTGAGGATGTTGGACTCAATCTTTTACAATCTGTTCCCAGGGAGCAAGGTTGCTCATAGAGCTGGGGTGAAATGGGCTGACTACTTCCATGTGGGGCCAAAGAAACCCCAAACATCTGCGAGGATGAGAAGGAAGATACAGAACAAATCAGTTCTGAAATGAGATTTAGAACAAAACACAGTTTACCAGTTTTGCACTCAAGAAAATGATGCTTTGACTTTTTCTTTTCCCCAGAAGTTTTTCACTGAAGATGCTGACCTGACTGTTGCCACTGGGACAGGATGTATCTAATCCTCAGCTCTCAGATGAGCTGGCTGCTGCCAGCATGACACAGAGCTGTAGTTTGACCCCAAATGGCAGCTCAGCACCATCATCCACTCACTCACTCCCCTCTGATGGGGTGGGAGAGAGAATGAGAAGGAGGAAAGTGAGAAAAACTGGCAGCTGAGATAAAGACAGTTAGGGAAAGCAAAACTACATGCACCAGCAAAGCAAAGCAAGCAATCTGTTCCCCACCTGCCATCGCAGGCACCCCCAGCACAGCAGAGCTGGGGTATCCCTTGGGTCAGTGGGGGTCAGCTGTCCTGGCTGTGTCCCCTCCCAGCTCCTTGTGCACCCCCAGCTGCTCACTGGTGGGGTGATTTGAGAAGCAGAAAAGGCCTTGGTTCTGTGTAAGCCATGCTCAGCAATAACAAAAACATCTCTATGTTATCAGCCATGTTTTCAGCACAAATCCAAAGCACAGCCCCATAGCAGCTACTGGGAAGAAAATTAACTCCACCCCAGCCACAACCAGCACACAGAATCCCAGCTCCTCATCCTCTGTGGTGTTTGGTTTACATGACTCTGAAAGGAAAACGCTCCCAAAACTCACACAAGGAAGAGCAAACTCGAGCTGTGCAGTACAGAGAAGGGCTCAGATCCATTTCTGGATTGCAAGTAGCTGATGTTCCTGTGGTGGAACCTCTTGCTGCATCCAGGTAATTGTCTCCCTGGACCCTGCACCCAACTAGTGATTTTAGTGCCTCTGGTTTTGAATCCTCTTTTCCTGTGGTGGTAAGCAGCAGCCACAAGGCTAATGGGTGTATTCAAGACTTGTTCTAGCAGTGTTAAGCTCATTGCAGAAGCTCAGGAGCTGCCTTTTGGCTCCTGGGGGCAAATGTGTGTGTGTGTGTGAGTGAATGCAGCCCTGCAGGCACAGCTGATACCTAAAGCAGTAATTTCAAGGTTGCTGCATAAACCCAGGAATAGACTAATACCTACCTGGAGGAGAGCAGAGGCATTGGAACTTAATTTAAACTCTTCCAACTCCCCTCCCTCCCAATTCTAAGATAAATGGACAAAAACATGCTCTGGAAGCTCTTGTGGAGCCCAGCCAGAGATGAGCAGGAAGGAGCCAAAGGCATTTCCACAGCTTGTCTTGCTGTGCTGGAGGCTTGGAGAGGTGTTTATAAACACCTTTTCTGCTCACAGTGCTCTTGGCCCCTCTCTGGCTCATGGCCAGGCATGACCCTGGTCCAAGCTTGTTTTGAAGTGTTTCATCCCCTGTGCTTTGCAGAGCTGCTTTGGTGCTGAGGCTGAGCAGGGATTTGCCCTGGGAGCAGGTCCATGCTCTCCAGGGAGGGTGTGAGCTGCTGTGCAAATCCAGGAGACAGGAATTGTCCCCTTCCAAGCTATTCCTGGGAGGGCTCTGAGTTCCACACTGGCCCTGTGCTTGGTCTTGCTCTGCCTGGGACAGGTGATGTGTCCCTTGAGGTTGATCTTTCTCCAGCAGGCTGGGCCCTGTGGGGCATGGATCCCACAGCCCTGTGGGTGGGCACAGATCCAAGCAGGGCACCTGCTGCTCTACCCAGTGCTGCTGGAGCTGGTGCTGATGCTGGTTGGCAGTCACATCATCAGGAGAGGACTCTGGTTGGATCCCTGGGATGAAAACACTTGGTTGGCTGTAAACAAATCTATTGACACAGATACTTCTCAGCCTGGCCTGTGGGAGCTTTGGTCCAGAAGAATTTATAGCTTGTAACTTCTAAACTCCTCACTGTGCAAACATGAGGATAACCAAGGCATCTCATCTCACCACAGCAGCTGGCTGTGGTGGCAAAACCTGTTTAAAGGAGATACAAGATGATCTCAGAGTATGATTTCATGGAGTGAGGGATGAGTGTTTGAATCCATCCTTCAAGTATCGCAGCCCTGCCCTGTCCTTCTGTGGCCCAGCCAGGTGTCCTGCCCCACACTTGGGAGGAGGCATCTGCCAGAGCACGGTCTCTGCCTTTTCCAGGAGGATAAAGCTGTTCTTTACCCCACTCCAGTGCCTTTCCTGGTGGGAAGTCGCAGCTGTCCTTCGAGGAGGATGAAGGTCTCAGCTGTGCTGACACATGGAGGTCTGGCCAGCTTTGCAGTTCTCCTGGGAGAGCTGTGGGGGGCTGCCACAGCTGGGAGGGAGGTGTGATACCTCCCTCTAAAGGTCCATAGCTTTGTGGACCTCGAGGAAGAGAAAAGCCAACTTGCCTTCTCATTTTAAGCTTTACCAAGTAGAAAAGGGCTGTGGTGAAGGATTATCTAAGGCAGCAGAGTTGCTTGTCATTCACAAGGTGATGGGGTTGATTCCTACCAGCCCTGAGGTGATGAGAGGCACAGCTCACAGCTGCAGAGTCCTGTGAGCCTGACCTGGCTGCTGGGACAAGGAAGAGTCAGGCACTCTTCCTTTTCTGTGAGTGACTTCCCATGGTCATCAGTAAGAAATGTTGTACTGTAGCAGGGGAATGTCTCAAAGTATCAAAGGTTTTTTAGTAATTATTTGTAACGATTTAACATTTGCCTATATCTCTTTCAGAGCTGTTCTGGGGGTAATTTCTGGAGCATCATTATGGCTCTGGGTGGGATTCCTTTCTGTCCTGTTAAGACCTGTGTGGGATTTGAAAACCTGGGATTCCTGCTTTCTGTGGCTTATCTGGAGACTGCCAGCTCAAAAAAGTTGTCCCATAACTCATCCCAGTGTTTTGCATTTTGCTGAAGAGGTGTTTAATTGAAAACCTCTTAGTCCATAAGCCAGACCCTTACCACAGAGGCAACATCTTTTTACTTTTCCCTCAAAGATACCATGAGTAAAATGAAGGTTCTGAATTTTTCCATGCTCTGGTTTCTCACAGGGCAAACTGGCTGCAGAGTCCACTCTGGCTTGGTGTCAGAGGGGTAGAAGCTTCACTTTTGTGAGGAAATTCCTTGCTCTGCTTTTAGACCCATAGGTCCCAGCTCGGGCTGTGCAATAGCCCTGCAGGAGACTGAAGGAGCACAGCAGTCACACCAGGAGGAGGAGAAAACCTTGGGTCCCCTAAATCCTGCTGCTGTGGAGAGCAGGAATTGCCTGGTGCCAATACACAATGCACCCAGCACAGCAAGAAGTCCTTCTCCCTCCCCAGGGACCATTAGGGGAGTTTCAGCCTCTCACAGTGTCTAGATAGAGGAGCTGGTTTGAGGATATTGCTTATGGGAATATTTTGGGAACTCATTATAAGAGAATTAGAGACCAGCCCTGGCGTGATTGAGATAACGTGGTATGTAAGTGTGCAGGAAACATGAAAATCCTCTCAATAATTAAATTCAATTAATTGTTTTACAGCTGCTCAGCAAATACCATGAGGTTCAGGTGGGGAGATGCACTGCTGGGATTCCACAAGGTCTGGATGGAGCAGGTAATAGACTGTGATGTGTGGAGCACCTGGTTTGTGTTGGAGAGGAAAACTATTTATAAACCAGAAGCATTAGCAAACTGGCTTTGCTGGAGACCTGTGGGACAGTCTGCAGCCAGCACAGCGTCACAGACCCTTGTTCTGGGGAAAGCAGTGCAGGGGGCTGGGAAGGAAAGAGGCTCTGGCACCTGTGAGAGGGGGTTAATTCTGCATCTCAGTATGGAAGGCCTGACAGCAAATGGCATCATAAAACAGCTGCCTTAATAAGAGAATTAAAAGAAGGATCTATAATAGCTTGAGGAACCAAAAAGGAAGAACTTCTCTCCAGGGAAGGGATATGTGCAGCACTGGGGAAAATCCATTCTGGGTCCATCCCACGCTGCACGAATGCAGGGTGCTCTGCATCTGAAGGGGTACGAGGCTTACTTGCCCTTGATATTTCTCTTTTTACTCTGCCTTGTTAAAACAGATATTTCATGAAGCCTTTTGCTGTTGGGCATTTCTCACTGAGACTGGGGAGTACCCCACACCACCTCCTCCCCCACTCAGTCCAGGGAGTGTCCCCAAGGAAATGGGTGTGCACAGGGCTTGTTGGGGGATCAGGGACAGACTTCCCTCTCCTGCTGCCTCCCTGGCCATCCCCAGCCTGAGGAAACAAGAGGGGTGTGCCAGACCCCTGCTCTGAAGTGCCTCACTCAGGTCCCCATTGCTTCCCTGCATGAAGCAGTGGCTCCTGGAAGGGGAACAGACAGTGGTGTGTGTTGTGCCATGGGCAGCCAGCATTATCCCACTAGCTGGGGGCTCAGAAACAGCCATGCCAGACTGGTTAGAGCTCACAGGTCCCAGAGCCTCAGGGTCCTGGAAGGGGCAGTGGGATGGGAGCCCTGGAATGCTGCTGGTGGTGCCTGCTTGCACCATGACTGTTGTCAGCACTAGGTCAGGGTGGCCACAGCCTCATCAACCCCAAACAATGAAGGGCCCCTGTCCCCATGCTGTGTGCTCTCCTATGGATACACCACCTCCTGGGAAAGAAAGATCACCTGGATATTCACCCTCAGCCTCCCAAGCTGCACTACAGAGCCACTGACCTGTGTGACATGCCCCACCGAGGGGACTTTGGCTCTGTTGCCTTTGTATCTGCCCTCCAGGTAGTTTTTAGCCATTAACTCAGCCCTAAACTTCCTCTCAGACAGACTAAACTAGACCACCTCCCATCATCCCTCCTTTTAGTGCCTCTGTCCCTGCCCCAATGAGTCTGTGTTTGTGATCCAGCCTTCAGGAGAGGAGAGAGAGGCAGGAGCAGCACCCCTGGGTCCCCCTGGAGCAGGTAGGGCAGGTGATGTCAGTGCCTCTGAAGCCTCTGTCTTGCCAGAGCTGGCCTGGCATCCTTCCCAGGGGATGAATTTTGGCTGAGGAAATACAAATTGCTGTCCCTGGCTCTGCAGGGTTAATTTCAGTGCAGATGCATGTGGTGCTGCCTGTGTCCTCAGCTCCAGCCAGGACGTGCACAGCAAAGGGCTGAGGAGGGAGCTGCAGACCGGGAAAGCAGCACCCAAGTGGCCTTGGGTGTGTTGGGAGAGCCCTGAAGTGCCCGGGGAGGGAGGATCCAGCACGTGCACGTGTGTGCCCACGGATCACACGAGTGAGATGCAGCAGATGAGCTGCCTCGCTCTATTTGTAACCTCCCACTGCTGTTGCACAGGCTCTGCAAGGAGGAGAAGGAGCTGAAAATTGAGCTGAAAATGGAAACTTGAGGCTCAGATGCTTGGAGGGGCTCAGGAGCCCGACTGAACCCATCACTCCCCAGGGAAGCAGGAGCTTCTGTTCCTCCTGGGCCCAGTGCCTTGCTCTCATGCTCAGCACAGAGTGAGACATTCATGCTCCACCTTGGAGCAAAAGTCATTTTCATTAACTTATTCAGGAAAGGAGACATAAAGACACAATTTAATTGCAAACCACAAGATTACAGTGTGAGATGAAATGAGGGAAGAATGAGGGGGGAAAAGGAAGAACAACTTGGTCTTATTTTTTAATTTGCATCCATTTAGCTGGCTGAAGGAGAGCTGGGTGAGGACATGGCAGTGCCATGGTGTGCCCTGCTGGATGGGATCCAGCCTCGCTCTCTGGGCATCACAGCTGGGATGTTGCATTGAAGATCTGGCTGGTTTGGGCAGTCCCAGTGGCTGCAGCCTGGCCACTGATGGGTGCAGGATGAGAGCCTGGTGTGCAGGGAGCCATGGACATCAGTCTTGTGTCCAGGCCCAGTCTGTGGATTTCCTGCCTGGATTCAGCACCTGCTGCTCTGGGTGTTGCTTTTGGAGATGCAGGATGTTCTTGGGAAAGTGCATGGTAACAGGGGAGCACAAGGAGAGCAAACTGGGCTCCTCCTCAGCCCCTTACACACAGCAGCCTGGAAAACCCACCCCTCCCCTGATCCCAGCTCTCCTTGCAAAGGGCAAGATGGAGAGGTGAGGGATGGGGCTCCAGAACCCCTCCAATCCTCCAGCATTGTGCTGAAACTGCTAATTAAAGAGCCCATTTCACCAAACGATTTTTTTTCCGATATGAAAACTTTTCCATAAGGAACCAGTCCCGAATCCACCAACTCATTTCACATTTATTTTAAATCTAAGCTTTATATCATGTAGTTTCCTCCAGGGCTTGATTATCTTCTCAGTAAAAGCTCTGTTGTTCTGGTTTGTGGGACCTATATTTAGCCTTGCCGTAAGGTCTGTGCACCTCTCAGTACAGGACTCAGACGCTGCCACCCGAGCTCCTGGGTTTCCTATTTATTTGGATCTATTAAACAAGTTACCATTTCTGTAATATCAAGGGCATTTTTCCAGCCACAGGCTGCCTACAAGCAGTAACTTGTTGCTGCAGAAATGGTCTCCTGGATCTCAGAAGTAATTTGGAGAGGGTCTCTTGTCTAACAATGGCAAATTATATTTAAACAGGGAATCAAGGGCAAAGCCAGCCGAAGAGCCTTGTCCCTCTCTTTTATTGTGGCGGTACCTCAAGTCCTCATTCCCCATGTTTCCTACACATGTAATAAGGCATACACCCACTCAGCATATTTTTACATAAAAATATACAAAACAGGCAAAAGTGGGTGGGGACTTTGCCTACGGAGGGAATTCAGAGGTGCACAGACATACCTGATGCCCTGGTGTGGCTGCAATTGTTATTTGATACACAGGGGGGTGTAAGGAGGTTGTGTGGAGAGAAGGGAGAGACAGAGAGGGAAACATCAGAGTGGCTGGCAGCGAAATCCAGTCCAGGGAGAACCTCTGGGATGGAGGGGTCTCTCACTGGAGGGCTGGAAGCTGGGATACACCATCCTGTGGGGAGCATCGCTCCCACTGGTGCCATTTTTCACCCTGTCATCTTTCTGGTGACACATCTCAGCGCCTGGGCACCGCTGTCCATCTGGAGGACACGAAGAGCTGCCTGGCTGATCATCAGCTCCCTGCCAGTCCCACCAGAGGAATCCTCTGGCTCCGGGCAGTGGTGCCCTGCAGAGGCTCCCCTGTGTCCTCCACCCTGAGTGAAGCCCTGCTGGAGCTGGAGCTGCTGAGGAATGTGTTGGATGCTGTCTGTATCCAAGGAACGGAGCGTGTGAGGCGCGGCGAGCCAAGGCACGCGATCGGAATGATCAACGGGCAAAATCTGGGTGCTGAGGCACGGGCTGGAACATCTGATTGGAAGGCTGGGAGGAAAAAGGGAAGGCTGAATTGTTTATGGTTTGTTTTTCATTCATCATTCCTGCTTGTGTGGGTGGACAAGGAGTGAACGAGTTTCTCGGGGAGGGCAGCAAATAAAAGAGGCACACATTTCCTTGAAGGATGAGTAGAATTTTTCCTTCCTACTGCCTAGGTGAATATGTCAGGGGAAAGGGGCTGGAGGGAACCCTAACAGCTTCTCTCCCAGATGGAGGAAACCACTTGCTCTTGATATTTTCCCTTTGATCACCATGTACCAAGAGATAAAGGTTTTTTTGGGGTGGGTTCCATCATAATAAAGTCGTGCTTTTTCTCCCTACAGCAAATGTTCTCAACTTTTCTTTGGACTGTTGAGCATCTCATGGAATTACAGTGAGTTGATGCTTTCCCAGCTGAGGGAAGGATGGCTGGCTGGATCAGCCAGGATGCTCCATTTCTGGGAGAGACAGCACCGGTGGCTACAGACACAACCCTCAATTCTGCCTTCCTCTGGCCTGGAAGTTGACATGAACAGGCAGGAGATATGTAGAAGTAGATTGTTTTTAAGGTTTCTTCCAATCCAAGCTGTTCTCTGATTCTGTGGTTAGTCAACGTCCAGGTTGGAGTCTCAGACTGAGCACTGGGCTTTTCTTTTTCCATACAATTCCTGTGTTCATCATTTATCACCTGCTTTTCTCATTTTACCTGAGGCTCTGGTGGTGTCCCCCTGGTGCCAGGAGTCTGGGGTGTCCTGGTGAAGGGCTGGCTCCTGCCCACATGGGGCACTGATGCTCTCCATGGGCATCCCCAAACTGAACAAGCCAAATCCATGCAGAGAAGACACGGAGGTGGGAAGAACTGTTTGCAATGGATTTGTTGGCATTTGTGGGGGTTTTGTAAAACACCTGATTATTGCAGGGAAGGAATGTCCCATAGAGAGGGAAAGCAACGTTCCCTTGGCTGGGGAATGGGATGGTGTCTCCTGTATTTACCATCCTCAGCAGGGCTTGAGGCTTCCTGCAGGATAGAGCTGGTGCTGGGAAGGGCTGTGGGAGGTGGGGGGACACCTCACATGATTATGAGGCTGGCCTGAAATGGGCAAGAGCTTAGCACAGCCCCATGCTGGATGACACAGGGAATGGCTGGACCTGTCTTAGGTTGGATATCAGGAAAAAGTTCTTCCCCCAGAGGGTGCTGGGGCACTGCCCAGGCTCCCCAGGGAATGGGCATGGCCCCAAGGCTGCCAGAGCTCCAGGAGCATTTGGAAAACGCTCTCAGGCACAGGGTGAGGTTGTTGGGATGTCCTGTGCAGAGCCAGGCGTTGGACTCAATGCTTCCCCTTCCAGCTCAGCACGTTCTGTGACTCTGTGCTTTGTTCCTCCTTACACCAAAAGCCCCACATGGGATTTGCAGGAGCACACCTTCAACTGACACGGAGGAGGCTGAGCATCTGCAACCTGTGGAGGATGCTGAAGAAGGACAGCTCGCCTGCCTGTGCTGCTGGAGGTCAATACCTGTCCTTGCAGAAGAGCTGCAGGGCTCCCTGAAGAAGGGAGGGACACTGGGACACTGCCCTGTGTGGCACCTGCAGCAGGCAGGGCTCTGTGCCAGGAGCTCCCTTGGCAGAGGGCAAGAGAGACCTGAGAGGTGCTTTGTGTTCAGACATCTCTGGGAAATTGCAGGAACAAAATTAAAGGAGGTAAAAGAAAAACCAGCCCCCAGAACAATTACCTGAGGAATGAAAACCTCTGATGGTGCTGCTGAACTCTGGGGTCCTCCCTCCAGACAGAGTGGAATCCTGAGCTCAGATTCTCCATCTCTGCCAGGATAGCAAATATGATGGGTTTTCACAGCAGGGAGTTAGAGGAGAGATGGGCTTTGGATAAATTAAAACAGACCACAGACCCTCCTGGGGTCCCTGCCAACAGTTACCCTAGTCTGAAGGAAAGTAATTTTTAAATCAGTTATTTAAGCTTAATTCTCTCAAAGCCAGTGTTCAGGTTGTTCTGGTAACTGTACCAAGGAACTTGCTTTATTTATTTCATATGTCAAAATGCCCAAGGACCTATAGAAAATAATGATTTTTCTTTAGGGGAAGAACTGCATAATGGGGGGAGAGGGCTTTAGTCCTAAACCATTTCTTAAATTTTAAGAGAAAAGCAGGTGTCTCAAGTGATGAAAACCAGTTGACTTCACAAGAGTTAGGTTGAACAACAGGAAAAATACTGCTGAAAGGAGATGTGACCAGTGCCCTTGTTTGAGGCTAAGTGTTCGGGACTTCAAAATACCCCAGAGACAAAGAAAACCTGAATTTTTCAAAATTTCCCCGGAGGCCTCACAGGCATCTTGCACTGAATTACTCACCGGGAGAACTGCGGTGGTCCTGCTGGGATTTCAGCCTGCAAAAACAGACAAGGATTAGCAACTCAGCTGCCTGGGCATGAAACTGCCCTTTCTGCTGAGGGGCAGGGTAGAGCAGGAGAGCTCCAGATCAAGTGATGCTATCGGGTATCTCCTTCCTTTTCAGGCAGAACCTCAGTTGCTGTCTGAGCAAAATGATAGGGAAAGGGGAAATTCCACAGAGATTTATGTCAAAAGAAGAGAGAAGTCAGGTGGTTTCCCTGCTCCTCTGAGCAGCTTCCTGAATCTAAAATACTGTTCTTCCCTCTGCCGTGGGAAACACTTCTGGTCCCTTCTACCTCCACCTGCATTTCTCTGCAGTTCTGCGTGGTCACCAGTCAGGGGGAAAGAGAAAGCCTTCAGAAACATCTGAGACCAAAAAGCCGCAGAGAATCACGCTTAGCGAGAGGAAATGTGCCCAAGAAGTAAATGGTCCCTGAGCCCTGCTGTGTGCACGCTGCGGGGCTCCCGGTGCACCACGGCCCTGCAATGGCAACGCTGCCCTGAGAGCTGTCAGCATTCCCAGAGAGGGGAAGAGCAGCGGTCCTGGCTGGCACCAGAGCCCCGGGTGCGTGTGCTGGGGCTGTGCCCTCTTGTGCCAGGGTGGGACAGCGCTGCCTCCCGCCCCGAGCCGGGGAAACACGAGCAGAGGCTGTGCCCCATGCCCGGGCTGGGCTGGGCACAGCGGCTCTGCTCCTTTCCCGTTTTTCCTGATGGTTCTGGCTGCGCTGTGTTAAATGGAAAACAAATCCCGATCCTGCCATCTGTGCTCCTTTGCTCACGCTCAAAGTGAGTGGGCTCAAAGACTCATCCCTTGAGGTTTGCTGAGGGGTTTCCTTGGGGCCCTAAAGCACAGGGACTGTTGCAGTCTGTGCCCAGAGCCATCGCCCTTCTGCCTCCAGGTCACCTCCGTGGGATGGGACTATGGCCGCTCCCCTTCAACACAGAATCCAGCGCAGCAACAACCACAAAATCCCCTGCTGCTGCTAATTGAGCATCTCAGCTCCCTTTCGCACTGCCTGGGCAAGCGAGGCTTTGCGAGTGCAGATGCTTCAGGATCAGCCTCGGAAATAAACCCAAACAAGCACATTTTGGATCTTAAAGCGACTCCTCCTGGAAGCCACTGCAGGGAAAAGCATTTGTTTATTAACGAGAGGCAGCAGGAACAGGCATGAAAGGCGGCTTTGTCTCCTCGGCCACTGCGCGTTCCGTTTGTCTCTATGTCTTTCCTTCAGGTGTGCAGGGAATCTCGGGCACAAATCTCCCAGCTCCATAAAACCATCGGGAAAGAGGAATCCCCGGCTCCCGGGCCCTGCGCATCGCGGAACCCCCGTGTCGCCTGCAGCCGCCCCCAAATGAGCGCATCTTTGATCGCCTCTGCGGGGAAAAGCGGGGTTCTGCCAACGCCTGGGCTGGCTCCATGGGCGGATGGAGGGAACGCGATCTGCCTCCATCCCCGGGGACCCCCAGGGACGCGGGGATCCCCGCCGCAGCGGGCATCCCCGGGGGGAGTCCCCGGGCAGGGAATCACCTTTCCGGGGGTGTGCGGGGGTCAGCATCCCGGGGGCAGGGGCAGCTGAGGGAGCATCCCGCCTCCTCCTCCCCGCGCCGCGCCGCGCCAGTGCCTGTGCCGGTGCCGTGCCGTGCCGTGCCGCCCCGTGCCGTGCCGTGCCGGTGCCGTGCCGGTGCCGTGCCGTGCCGCCCCGTGCCTTGCCGTGCCGTGCCGTGCCGTGCCGTGCCGTGCCGTGCCGTGCCGTGCCGTGCCGTGCCGCCCCGCGTCGCGCCGCTCCGCTCCGCCCCGCCGCGCCCGCCGCGCCGCAGCCCCGCAGCCCGGCCCCGCAGCCCGGCCCCGCAGCCCGGCCGCCGCCGCAGGGCCGGCGGGCAGCGAGCGGCAGCCGGCGGCATGAGGCGCGACCCGGCGCCCGGCTTCTCCATGCTGCTCTTCGGCGTCTCCCTCGCCTGCTACTCGCCCAGCCTCAAGTCGGTGCAGGACCAGGCGTACACGGCGGCGGTGGTGCTGGAGGGCAAGGTGCAGTCCGTGGGCCCCCCCGCCGGCGGCAATGACAGCCGCGGCGCCGGGCCCGCCGGGGGGGTCTTGGTCAAGGTGCTCGACCTGTGGCCCCTCAACAGCGGGGGGCTGCAGCGGGAGCAGCTCATCAGCGTGGGCTCCAAGGCGCCCTGCTTCAAAGTGAAGCGCAACCACCGCTACATCTTCTTCCTGGAGCCCACCGAGGAGCCGCTCGTCTTCCGCACCGCCTTCGCTCCGCTCGACACCAGCGGCAAGAACCTCAAGCGGGACGTGGCGCGGATCCTCTGCGCCGACTGCGGTACGGGCCGCGCCGCGGCGGCGGGGGGCGGCGGGGGGCGATGGCGGAGCGGCGGCGGGGGGCGATGGCGGAGCGGCGGCGGGAGCGCTGGCCCGCGTCCCGAGCAGGCGCGGGGCGACAGGTCCGTACCGCTGGGACCTGCGGGGGACAGGTGCCCGGCGATCATCCCCCCGCTTCGCCCCCGGTGGGCCCCGGGAGCCGCGCCTGCACCGGGGGAGATGTGATGCGATGCGATGCGATGTGATGCTATGAGATACGATACGATACGATACGATACGATACGATACGATACGATACGATACGATACGATACGATACGATACGATGCGATACGATACGATGCGATACGATACGATGCCCTCCGCACGGCCCGGCCGCCGCAGCCGCGCTCGCCCCATTCCCCGGCCCCGGGCTCCCCGCTCGCCCGGCTCAAGGTCCGGTAGCCCCAGCCCGGCGCCGCGCCAGCAGCGCAGACCCGGGCCCGGTGCGGGGAGTGCCCGCAGCCCGCGGCCGCCCGGCGCTCGGTGATGCCGCGCGGGAGCCCTCGGGCTCAGCGCGGTCCCAGCGCCCCGGTGCCTCTCCCCTGCCGGGATTGCTGCCGGCCTGCGGGGGCTCCGGTCACTCCGGCCGCGACCCCCGTCCCGGGGCTGGGACAGGGGTAGCGCTCCAGGTGTGCTCTAAGAGCCGGGAAGTTTTGTGTCTTCCAAAATAACGGCCTCGCGGGGGTGGGGGGAAGTTGGTTTTTCTTTTGTTCGTTCCGCGCATTTCGGTGTCTCCCATCACGGCTCTCGTGCGGTGGCTTGTGCTGTTCTTCCAGCACCTCTGGAAACGCGGTTATGAAATGACTTCAACGGGAAGTGCCCGCCGGAGCGTCCCTGCTTTTGTTCCTGGATTTTCCTTGCTGTCCTCTGGCAGGTGAACACCTGCGAAGGGCCGGGCGGTGGGGACCAGGCGAGGACAATGCCTGCATTTTCCCAGAGTTTGGACCTGAGCTGACAAAAATGCACGGCTGGCCCTTCATCCGGCCTGAATGCTGGATACTGTGTCACAAAATCTGGAGAAGGACGGTGTTAACCCGGAGAGCTCTGAGTGCCGTGCCGTGCCCTCAGCAAGGGTTTGAATTCCTCCTTTTTGGTGTGTTGTGAGGATATACAGGGTGTACCTCCAGGGAATCCAGGCTCCCCACTCAATGTTAATACACTGCATTCTCATCAGGTTAATTGGCCTTTTGCCTCATTAAAAGCAAGGTACTTTGTCAAGTTATACTTAGCTCTGTAATGACCATATGTGTACTGCTCTATGGTGGTTGTTGTGGTATTAACTGGGTGTTTCTGGGGCAAATACTCTGCCATTCGGGACTGCTGACCCCACATTGTGAAAGCTAGACCTGTCTCTTTTTTTAGTTATCCAAAAGATAAATTTAGAAGCTTGCATTTCCTGGGAGAAAGGTGGAACCTTGCTCATCATAATATGTTGTTGAGGAAAATGGGCTAGGACTGTGTGCAAGAAAACTAATTTGGGAGACACTAATTTCATGTTCATCTGTATATGGGCCATCGTGGACAGAGAGGATTTGGTGAAAGAGCTGTGGTAGAGACAAGAGGAAAGTAAATGGGGGAATTTCTCAGGACTGTGGTCTCATTGTCAGGGAAAAACACAGCAAAAGGTACGTGGCTTTTATTGCTTTTCTTTTTTCTTTTAGATCAAAAAGGATTCTGAACTTGTGCATCTCTGAGCAGCAGGGGTTGACTTTAAGGGGAATGGAGGCTGTTCTGTGGCATCCTGGCTCAGGCCCAAAGCGTTAATGTGTGGGCTGATGTAACAACAAGTTAAGGGTTGTCATTCTGTCGTGACACCTCCTTGGAGCTGATGCTTTTGTTTCTGTGTGGCTCTGATGGGCTGATTCGGCTCCCTGGCTGAGGGACACTGCAGATTGGTGGGAGCCTTGTCTCAGCAGAGCTCCATGGCAGATTCCAAAGGAAAAATAAAATCTGGTGGTTGGGAAATGTCATAGCCGTGGTTTGCTTTGGTGATGAAGATGAAATGGGAGCCTCAGCTTGCTGAACTGGTGGTTCCCTGAGCACTTCATGCTCTTGGTCCAGCTGGGAGGTTACTTCTGAAGGTGACTTTCCTGGCAGGATCTTCTGATTTGTAGCACCTGAGCTGCTGGAAAGATGTGTGAACTGGGAAACCACGGTTTGCCTTCCTGCTCTGTGGTTTGTGCTGGGAGGGGAGATCCGAAAGGATGCAGGGGTATTTCCCATTCTTGCTGCTCACGGGGGTGGTGAGAACTCCAGAGCTGGCAGGGGGTGAATGTCCAGGCACGAGGAGCACTCCGAGGGACAGCTGGGCTGCAGCTGTATGAGGGATGTTACGGAGCTGGGGGACAGATGGTGGGGTCACTTCTGAGCAGGAAGGGAGGACCTTGTGGCTCTGATCACTCCAATCCCCCCACTCTCAAAGATGGAGGCCTCACAGGACCATCTTCTCCCTGCTCTGGCTCTGTGCCTGGGTCTGTTTTCCAGTGATTCATCCCCTTCTCACCGGCTAAGATGCTGTGTGTCTCCTGCTCTTGCTGCGTGCCGAGGTCTGGGATGCGATGCAGGACTAGAATGTGATGGGAGCATCCGTGTCTCTGTCCAAGGAGCAGTCTCTGCTGTTTGCACATTTCACTTAGAGGAGAGAAAGTGGGTGCTGAGACTCTGCATGGGACCCAGACCCTCTCTGAGCAGAGCCAGGAGGACTGAGGTGAGAGAAGGATGTCCTGGGATGTGGGGGACAGAACAGGAATGCCAGTCTGCGTGCCTGGTGTGTGTGGGGTCTGAGCTGGGTTGCTTCTGGTGTGCCCCCTGAGCAGAGATCCAGGGAGGGGAATTCTCACTTTGGCCATCTCACTGCTGGGCAGGCTCTGAAGGCTGGATCTTCCCACCTGAAAACCCCAGAGAGGTGCAGCCTCTGCAGCTCTGCCTGCCTATGGTTTTCATCCCTCTGGCACACAGGGAGCAGCTGGTCCTGGGGCCTGGCATCCTGCAGGTCTCACCACCCACTTGTCCATCTTAAAACCTCTTTTGCACTGGGAGTATTATTGGGTTTTTTTCATACTGTTATATAACGATTCCTGTTATTGCTTCTCCTCCTGTCTCTTTTCTTTGTATCTTCTAGCTCCTTAATTTTGGATGGTCTCATATCTCCTCTGTGCCTACACACACAGATCAAGGAGGAGGAAATAGGTACAAGACACGGTGCTGGCTCTCATTGGTGAAGGAGCTGGTGGCATTATCCCCACTGGAACAACTCCTGATCTGAATCCAGAAAGGGGCTTGTGGTCCTCATCCTCCTGATCTTTAAGGGTAGCTTGTGTCAGCATCTGCTTCCCACTCTGTGTGAATCCCCTCTACCTGTGCAAAAGCCTTATGTGCAGATATTTGTACACAGGAGAGTGTGGATTTAACCTGTCCAGGCTCTGATCTCTGCTTTCACAGAGGAACAAATGTCTTTCTTCCTCCATATGCAGCGAGTTGCAAAGTAGCTTTAATTAGAGCTTGTACGTCTCCTGAAGCACCTCACCGAAAATGCTGCTGAGCTCCAGGACGAGGTCTGCTGCTCGCCTGTGGGATTAGCTAGCTTAGCCTGGGCAGGTAATCTGGTGGTGGCAGATCCCTGGGAGGATTTGCAGGCAGAGGACCTGTTGTTGTAACTGGTACTTCTTGTGAGATGAGGCATTTGTTTTATTTCCAGTCCGAAGGTGTCTTGGTCCTAGTGGGAATCAGGAACGTGCTGAGGCTGTGGCATTGGCCTCAGTGGCCACATAATGCTGGGAGCTGTTTATCCTGGAGCAGGTTGGTTAGAGCTGGCCTGTGAGGGGAGGAGGGAGGTCGGATTTTGAAGTGCCCGCTGGAAAATACAGCCCTTTGGATTACAGTGTAGGTGTTGCTGCCTGAAATAGCACTGGCAACTTTGGACCAGCTCATGCAAAAATATCCCTCTTCACTATCCTGCAGATCATTGGAAGCCAGGCAGGCACAGGGGAGGGGTGTGGGTGGCTCCAGCTGCTGGTGATGGTACTCTGCCTTCATCCCAGGACAGCTGTGGAGCACAGAGCAGTAAAGCTGGATTTTCTCACACACCATCTTACTAATTAGAGCTGTCTGAAACTATTTCTCACCACCTTCAGAAAATCACACTTCCTTGGGTTTGCAGAAGAGCAAAAACTTGCTTCCTTCTTGCCTTGAGTTTCTGCAGATGGGGAATGGTCACTGTGCTGCAGACAGCTTTGACCTCTTGCAAGGGTGGCACAATTCTGGGTGCTCTCCTAAATCCTCTCATACAGGATTTGGTCTGGAGTGGACCTGAGGTGGCTGGGTCCTTGTGGCCAGGCCAGCTCCTTGTCTCCCAGATGAGCTATCCAGGAACTGGCAACTGGAACTTTGCTCTGCCAAAGCTGCAGGTCCAAGTGACTTCAGTGGTGCCTGACACAACAGAGATTTTCCCTCTCAGACTTGTGCCATGCGTGCAGCAAAGCCTGGCTAGTTCCTCAGTCCCCCTTTCAGAAATGTTTGACTAAATAAAGCATCTCCCCAAGGATCTCCATGAGTAAGATGAGACTAAAACAGCTTCTGAGTGATCCCAGCAGTGCTGATTTCTCTATCTAGGGCTGCTCCATGCCCAGCCCAGGCCCCAGCTGCTGCTGGTGGCTCTTTGTGCTCCACCAGCTGACAGCCCTTAGATATGGGCCCTGAGGCAGAACGCCCTTTCTAAATCACAGGCGACACCTTGACTTGGGTTTGGATCTGGATCAGAAACTGGTGCATGCTTGGGAGCACAGAGGCAATAAACTGCATCACCAGGCAAAAAGGGAGCCATGCTCTGCCACAGCTGAGCTCCCCGCTTCGTTTGGGCTGTGTAAGGTGCACCATGGGCACCAGGGGCTGGAGCCTTCAAGCACTTGGCACACCCCAAAATCTGCTGCAAAGTGCCACAAGGGATGGGTTTTGGTACCGT